GCTAACTCAAGCTTTAGTTCATACCCCTGACAGACGAGCCACCTCAATTAAAGCGCCACTACACCTGAGATAAGGTGTTGCATGTGTGAACAGGACTTGAGTTCGGAGGACCATATGAATTATAACTGAAGTGAACTTTACAAGACAAGTAAGGTCCCTGAATTCTGTGCAAGTAGGGATTTTCATCATATGATGCAAGGCACTCAGCATCTCCGAAGATTAGGTTTTGGAGGTAGAGCCTGGGCACCACCATTAGTCCAGAAAGGACAAACTATTTTAAACCCTGTAGTATTTTTCTGAGATTTGCATAATGTATCGAAAGAGCTAAAGAATCTAAAGATAACCTCTTCCACAATGAATGTGCAAAGCTGATTTTCAAAAGTGTTTAGCCCTGGCAGCTTCCAGGACAACAGGCTGTTCTGAAAATGACTGTTTTTACCTCCCATTTAGACACCTACATGCCAAACTCCTTTGAAAAGCTAAGTCAGCATACCCTCTGAGAGGGCCTTCTTCTCAGTCTTTGCTCAGACAGCTTTCCCATTGACTATGGTGGAGCTGAGAGCACTGGTCTTTGCCTCAATTTCAAGGCAGATATTATTCAAGCATATTTTAAATTGTTTTTAATAAAATAAGTGTATGCATTTTGTGGATTTGCACTATGGCTCAGTGTGCAATGTACTACCCATTTTTTAACATGTAACTACTATTATAATATCTGCCAGTACACAGCCAGCAGCCTGAAGACACTTTTAAAAAAGCAGAAAAATTAAAAATACAAAATCTTATATTCATGTAACATTATGTTTACAAATAAGCTGTGGAGATGCATTGTAATTTCTAGACCTTGGCTTCTTTTTGGTGGTATATCCTAATATAGTAATGCTCGTATTGCTAAAGCTAAAACTAAAATATACAGGATGTGGATTGTGGACAAACTGTTGTTCCAGGAACATTACATTTTCCATCTCCAGACTTTTGTCCATTTAAATCAAGAAATACATGGATTCTCTTCATTAAAGTTACATACACATTACATATGATGAGCATATAAACACATTATTATTTTCATACAATAATCACATCTTTTAATTTCATTTAATTATGTCTATTAAAGTAGTGCCCAAGAGTCAAACAAGAATAAAGTCCCATTGCAATAGGGTTGATAAACACAGCATACTAGATCACTCCTGCCTGCCCTAAAGACCTTACAATCAAAATAGACATGAGAGAGGGAGGGGGAGGGATAACAAACAAGCAGAATGAATTACATGATACCAGCAAATGTTACATATATGGAAATGATAACTGTGATATATTGCAGAGACACATGACAAATTGCATTTATCCTGTGCTTTGGATGGTCTCCTGGGTTTAGCCTCAGCCCGCCTACTAAACCATCATCGCTCATGGTATTTCAGCAGACCAAATCTCTGAGCAGCTTCAAAACAACTATCACTTAAAAAAATTAAGAATTGTTGAGAAATGTTTGCTTCCCTCCCATAACCAAGCAATTCCTCCCACAGGATACTGCACTAGGATTCAAGGTAGGAAATATTCAGTTCTGGGCCAGTGATGCATTTAAATCCCAAGACCTAGACATCCATAATGATTGGAGATGAACTTATGTCTTTAGAAAGCTAAAATTCATTGTAATAAAACAATTTTTCTAACCATAAAATATTCAGGCTTCAATTCAAGCTCCATTTATACTATTAAGAAATTTCTAAAACGTAGTTTGTAAAGCATTCCTCCCCTACAAAAGTCTGTACAACTGGATTTACTTACTGCAATAAGGGACCCTGGTTGTAGAGGTATGCACACACTTCAATAGCAAACTCTCACTCTTGACAAAAACACGGAGGGCTGGAGGAAAGGAATGTTCCCTGCTACGTTCCCTAGTAGCCTGAATAGCTCCGACTCTGAAGCCACTTTGCCCTGAAGTAGTTCAGCCAACAGCCAGAGTAGGTTTTATAAGCCCTTGTATATCTACTCTTGGAGGTAAAGAATACACACCCAGTGCTTTGTGCATGTCTAATTGTACACCAGCAGTACAGGAAAAAGTGGCCAGATTACCAAACCTGGCAGACTACTTTTCATTAGTATAAATTTGGGATAACCTCAAGTAATTATAGGTAAATTATGCAATTCATTCCAAACAACTGTAAGAAAAATCTGTATGCATTCCCCATACTATTTTGTACTTTGCTTTGCATTATACTGCAGAGACCATTTACTTTAGAAATGCTTGAATTTAGCATGTTTACTTAGTTAATTTTCCTTCTGTCCTCAGGGTCTATAGACACAAGTAACTATTTGCCATATCCATATAAGCCCCACAGTATCAGGAAAATGAGAATTATTTTCTGCCTGCAAAAGAAAAACCCAAAACGATTTAAAAACTGTTTTTTGGTAAATTTATACATAATTCAAATTTTACCTTTTAGTATCATCTAGAACTAGAACCAAACACTATACAACTTTTTAATGCAATATAGCAAGAGTTTCTAGGTCTGGTTATACAATATTGAATACTGTTTTAAATCCTTGCTGTTATCCAATACATACAATGGTTGTAGGGAAAAAGGTACCACTGAAGCAGGATCTCTTTATTTTTTTAACGGTAGATGTATGAGATATGCTGAAAGGTTAAGACTCGCTTGTGCTCCTAACCAAAAAACATAAGAGGACAGAGTGCAGGTGATCAGAGACGCAACACAAATGCTGTTTATTACAAAGATTTGTTTCAGCTGTGGAGGACAGCAAACGGCAAAAGGAAGTCCTTCTGCCCCAGGGCAAGGGAGCAGGATTAAGGTTGCACAGGTAACCTTCATTATGGCATTATTTAGCGTTCAGGCTTTTGATTAATACAACTTTGCCAATTTTTGTAAAGTATTTTGGAATGGATTATGTATATTAAATATAGCAATGCACTGTTTTAAAAAAAAAGTCACACTCCTACCTCAGGATGCCTGGGATAACTGGCATCTTCCTACATTTAGGACAGAAGATAATGTGGCTGTGGATTGGCAAATGTTGATTTTTTGTTGTTGTTGAAGGTGGCCCTTAGTTTGCCGGCTGGAGATCGTTATTCTTACCCATGAGATTTCCTTGCAGAGATGCAAGTGCTGTTTTTTAAATCCCCTTTCTCAAACTTTGGCAGTCAAGAAACTGTTGTAGTTAGTTACCCATTTTTATAGATGAGAGAGAGGCTTGGCAAACTCTCCCACTACATGCAGCTGGTAGCCCCTGCCTTTTAGAGCTTGATCTCGGGCAGGAGCCCCGCTCTGCGACATGCGGAGCACAGGACAAGCCCCGCTCTCCCACCCGGCTGCTGCGGATGGTTGTCCACGCGGACACACTTACCCACCGCTTCGTGCGGGCCCGGGGTGCTGCGGCCGACACGGGTGCGTGGGGGGTCTGCACCTTGCACTCACTCGGGGTGCCGGCCCGGCCCATTCAGCCGGGGAAGCCCTTCCAACCGGGCCCTGGAAATGCCGGAGGCAGCGAGCCGGCTCTGCTCGTCCCCCGAGGGGCTCGCGTCCGGGGCAGCCGCGGGCCGCGCGTGTCCCCCCTGAGGCGCTCCCACGC